GGGGTGGAAGGTCCCATGAGTTCAGTGGAAGAGATGCCAAGAGAGAACCTGTTGCTGGCGTTTTATTTGTTGTTTTGATTATCATTCTATCTTTAGCATCAAAGTCAAGGGAAACTAAGAAAGGAAAGAAGAACTACCAGAGGTGTGAAGGCTATGGTGGATGGATGGACTGATTGAGGACACGATACTCCAGGCAGGACAGGATTTAGGTCACTGCTGGTTTCCAGAAGCCTAGGAAAGGCCATTAGAAGCTCTACTGAATATTGTCCAGTCAGCAGCTTTCATGCGGCCATGAAAGAAGATCTGACCATATTAGAGCCCAGCAGAGAAAAACCCAGATTGCTTAGGAATTTCTCTGAGGAAGATTTCTACACACCCACCTCCCTTCTGGATTCCTCTCTGGAATGCCTCCCCTCCCACTGCTTGCCCATTCTCTCTGAACACCTTTGAAGATCTGAACGAATTCTGTTCCGCTGAGAAGCTCTTGTGCAGCATTCACTGGCCTGTATGACATGTTTTTGACCTAGGAAATTCTCCTAAGCCTTCTGACTTTGTCAAGTGCCACAGTGATTGTATTTGAGCAACTTTACCCTTCAGCCATGTGAAGATTTGCAACCCCCACCCTGTGGATTGTAGATTCCAACTCTGAGATTGTTTTATTCACAAGAAGAAATATGAGAAAGAAACATGGAGTTTCCCCTTCTTGCCTCTGTGCTTTGTAAGCTAAAAATCTGTTCTTTCTAATGACCTGTCAATCTTATAGTCCATTTTGTTTTTAATTCCTCTAGACAGATCAGTTTCCCAGAGACGCAGAATACCAGGGTGCCAAGTTCAGGAGTTAGAGCCCAGGTTCACTAATGCTTCCAACATGGCTATCCTTGCATCCTTCAGGGAATCTTTCAGTATTTACCCCAAAGACCATGATGCACAAAGATTTTAGAACCAAAGAAGAGGGTAGGTACTAATAAGATTAAATTTAAAATGGTTGATGTTCTAGTTAAGTTTTTAATGCTGTGTTAAAAACTATGACCCAAAGCAACTTGGGGAGGAAAGGATTTATTTCATCTTACAACTCTCAGGTCACACTCCAGCACTGGGGAAAGTCAGAACAGGAACTCAAGCAGAGCAGGAACCTTGAGGCAGGAACTGAAGCAGAGGCACGGAGGAGTGCTGCTTACTGGCTTGCTCCTCATGTCTTGCTCAGCTCTCTTTCTTATACAACCCAGGACCACCTGCCTGGGGGGGGGGTGGCTGTGCCCTCCCGCATCAATCATCGATCAAGAAAATGCCCCACAGACTTGCCTCAGGCCAATGTGATGGAGGCATTTTCTCAACTGAGGTTCTTCCTTCCCAGACAACCCTGACTTGTGTCAAACGGATAGCTAAGCAGCACAGTTGGTCACAGGGATAAAAGCTGGGGCAGAACTAATATCACTATTCCTGTAGGAAAAGTGCAGCTGAAGGCTGGGAGTGTAGCTCTGTTGGTGGGCGCTGGCCTGGCATGTATGGAGCCCCAGGTTCAACCCTATGGCATCACACAAACCAGAGGTGGTATTGCATGCCTAACAATCAGCACTTGGCAAGTGGAGGCGGCCAAGTCAGAAAGCATTTCAAACTCATCCTTGGATACATAATGAGTTCAAGGCCAGCCTGGACTATGTGAGACCCCATCTTGAGTAAAAGAAAAGGTCCAGTTGCTCAAGTTGAACATGAAACAAAAGGGAGCCAGGAAGACCAGTGTGGCTCGTCATCACAAGTGGTAGCAAGGAGCTCAGGTTCTAGAAGAATGGGCGTTAGAGATCTGCTCTGCTCTGCTCTGGCCTGGCCACAGCATTTCCTGGCCTCGGTCTCATATCTTCTTCCAGCCCTTTCTCTGTCACCAGCGGAGTGATTTTCCTGAAAACGCCAAGGTAATTGTGTCACTCTCTCTTGCTTCTAAGTCTCCCATGATTCCCATTGTCCTCAGAATCATCTCATGCAGTGCCCCTCATGATCTGACCCCTGCTGACCTCTCCAACCCACTTCTTTATCTGTGATCTAGAATCCAAACCTTCGATCTTGATCTATAACCCTCACCCTTGTAATCCTGAACCATCGGCAGTTCTTAGAATAATTACAGTCATCGACTGAAGAGTCTCGCCCTCCTCATACACATCCCTGTGCCTGTCAGCCGCTCCGTCCTCTGGTGTTTCCCACCTCCCCGGGCCTGAAGACAGCCCTTCCAGCATTGTATTGCAATTTCTGAAGAACATTCCACTCTCCTACCTCAGGAGAGTAGGCTCCTCAAAAAAGAGTGTTTGCTGTGACTTCTCAGGGTCTAGCTTCCTGGGAGACACTTAGTAAATACCGATGGAGCCAGTGGAAGGCTAGGCATTTCAAAAACATTTGACCCAGGAGCATTCAGAGAAAGATGATAAGAATGACGAGGGCCACGGAAATAGAGTGGCAAATACCTGAAGGAGGTGAGAGCCAGCTTAGTAGAGGCCCAACAACTCGTCTCATGTCGAGGACCACCATGCAGAAGTAGGATATGATTCATCGAGGCTCACCAGAGGGCGGTAGTCAATCTGTGGTGGGAAGAAAAGAAATGATCCCCGGGGCAAGGAAGGAGCAGCCTTGGGGAGTTACACTGAGAGGGCGCACTGATGAGGAGAATTGGCTTACTGGTGATCTGAAGAGCTCTCTGACTCTCAAAGGCCCCAGGACCATCTCAGGACTGTGGCTGGAGAGATTCTCCTGTTGGGTGAAGTCTTCGCCTAACAGCAAAACTCTATGGAACTTGTGTTCCGATGTGGGGTGCCTGATGTCTAAATGTCTGTGAGTCTCTGCGTAGACATTCCACCACACAGTTTAGAAATCTACACAGACGGTCCTTCCTTTCTTAGCGGCTTCAGGGCACTTTACCTATTCCAAGTTTATCTAGGAGGTCTGGTTTGCTTCACTGTTCCGCTGGGGAAGGAGAGAGGGATATGGAGGAATTATGGGGCCTGTCTTAGATTTGCAGATGAGGCGATCTTAATAGAAACCAGAACTCTTGGTTCCTAGACAGTGGTGCGGATGAATTCTCCAGGTGTGATGATTTCACGTGCCGACTTACTCTATGAAGTTTCACTTCTCTTGGTAGTTCCCCTCCATTCCTCACATGTCAAGAATACACTCTTCTGCCACCCCGCCCTGAAGGCTCTGCATCTCACCTGATCTCGGGAGCCAGGCGGGGTCGGGCCTGCTAATACTTAGATGGGAAATCCAAAGTGACTTTGGGGATGTGCTTCGAAATGTGTATTGCTTGTATGACCTCAAAAAAGCCATCTAAGGGCTAGAGCAACGTCTCAGAGGTTAAGAGCCCTTGATGGTGGGTTCAGTTCCCAGCATGCACAGAATGCTCGTAATTGCCTGTAACTCCAGTTACAGGGGATCCCATGGGCTGTTCTGAATCCTCGGGTACTACACACAAACATGGTGCATAGACATGCCTGCAGACAGAACACCCACACATAAAAATAATTATTAATAAAAATAATGAAATAAAACATTTTAAAAATCCATTTAACTTCTATCTTCTTTCAATTCTGTTTCATCATCTTTCAGTTTTCCCACCAATAGGACTGATAAAATAATAGGATCCCTTTCACAAGATTATCATAAGGATAAAATGAGCTCACAATACGAGGATATAGTAGTACATGATGAATAAACATTGGTTAGTGTTGCTAGTACTGGATGAAGACGAGAATTGGGAATAAAGAGGCTTGACTTCTCATCCTGTGCTAAAATATAACACAGTGGTCATCAGGTTATTCCATATGGAAGCTTGGAAGTGCCTTACAGCTTCCGCTGAGAGCCTGCATAGGTATAAGGTATAAGAGAGGATCCCTCGGTATAGAGCCGGATTGGGGCACCAGATAGTGTTCCTCTGCTGTTATCACTGGTCTCGAACCCCAATTCGTCATTATTTCCAAGGTAATTCCCTAAAGTTGGAGTGAGGGTACACCTCATATTTCACTGTCCTTCCTCTACACCATTCCCTGGTATTCCTATCCAACGGAATCTGGCTAAATTGATAGCCCTTTGGGCCACTAGTTTATCTCCCTTAACGTGTGATTTTTCCTTCCTTGCAAGCTCATGAGGGTGTAGCTGGTTCAATTCCATCCTATACAGTTAACTCTTCCGTGTCTGGAGTTCACACAAGAGACCAGAGAGTGGTAACCAGAAAATGTTTTGACTCTGGGTTCCCTCCTGGTAGTCACTGGAGCCCAGTGAAAGTGTGGCTTGGCTCCAGACAGAGTCCAGGAGGAGCCTAATGCAGTTTTTGTAACAAGTGATTCAAGTTTGCCAGAGGCCAGGATCAGAGCCAGTGTGTGTCAGCCACCCCCTGCCTCCACCATTTCCAATGCCCCCCTTCCCTTCTGACTGTCTCTACCTGGAATAGGGCAAGCCTCCCTACCAAAGTCACAGCTCTTCCATTAGATGCTTCAAAGGGTTTTCTTCATATTTCAACCTAAACTCTTAATGGACAAAGGTCTCATATCTTCTTCCAGCCTTTCTCCGTCACCAGTGGAGTGATTTTCCTGAAAACGCCAAGGTAATTGTGTCACTCTCTCCTGCTTCTAAGTCTCCCATGATTCCCGTTGTCCTCAGAATCATCTCATGCAGTGCCCCTCATGATCTGACCCCTGCTGACCTCTCCAACCCACTTC